TGTGATTTTTCTAGAGCAGAGGCATGCTGAAGGTGCATTATAGCACTGACCAGAGATCTCTCCAACAGATCAAAATGGAACCAGGGTACTGCCATCTTGAATAAGATCCAGGGTCCCTGTGTCCTTATCTGCCAGTGGCCAGCTCCTGAGAGGTCCAAAAACCTCTGAATCCCCAGCAGCAAGGGGAGTGGCTTATATGCTACCCTGATAGGCTCCAGAAAACTGCCATTCAGGTAGGAGGCCGATGACCATGTGTACGAGGTCATAGAGTGGAAATGTGTGTACAGTGGGGAAGAGAAGAAAGGTAGGGCACCAGCTGGGCCTTTACACACTTCTCACTGGGGAACAGTAATTGCACAATACCACTGTGGTAGAAGGTACCAGGGCAAGACAGGCTGGAACAGAAGTGTGATGTATGACCGTACAAGTAAATGTTTAATCTGAGGGGAGAATATGGAGGTGTGGGGCAGGAAATAAGGGAGAAAGACATAGGCAGACCTGCCAATAGAATACTGAAGTTACAGGACAACAATATGGAAGTGTCACTTCAAAGTAACTTGCTCAAAGTCATTGCTACTGAGGCAAGCAACTGCTGGATGCACACGGAGAGACCTAGGTAGGACAATCATTTGATCTGCAGACATCCTCTGTCTTAATGAGTATCCGAACTAAAAAACAACGCAGGCCTAGCAAGCGATTAGACTTTGCATAGGATTGCTGCTCTTTGACACTAGAAGACATGAAGAGAATCCACCAGAGTGTCTTTTTTTTTTTACTCAATGTCAATTTTTAAAGTTACCGTGGTTATGGGTTGGCTCCAAGAAAAGGTTTCAGTGTCCAGAACATGCACGTGATCATTCCATCCTCTAGGCTGACCTGAGTTCTTTAGAAAAAAAATTCATTTTAATGATTACATGCTAGCATCAGAATGTCTTCTGTTGAAAATTACTTTTAAGTGGAAAAAGAATGTTACTTACCCAAAAAGAAGTTTCATCAAATTCAAAAGTTCCTAATGGTATCCCTTCAGGTGAATAACCATAACCACCAAAAAATATTAGCCTGTTCAACAGAAATGACATCAAGATTATCGAAAGCAAATACCATTGTACTATAATCGCTACAATTACAACTTGATGCTTAGGAAAGGTTTTTCCCACAGCATTATGCTCCCTTAAATTTGTTACCAAATTATAAGTAACATTTCTTATTTTAGCGGCGAGGAGTCCTGTGGCACCTTATAGACTAACTGAAGTGTAGGAGCATAAGCTTTCGTGGGCAAAGACCCACTTCGTCAGATGCATGTTTTAAGACATGTTTATAGTTGAAAATGTTTTAAATATTTAGGATCAAACCCAAAACTTCCCTTAAGCAGAGATTCAATGTGAAAAATGTATTCATTTCAATTTTGTTCAGTTTAGACACACCAGCAAGAATGAGACACATTTAAAAAATTGTCAAAGACAAAATTGCAACACTTCTGCTTGCTTACTTATTTTTATAAACCCAAACTCCAAGTTTGTCTTTTGATGATGGGGGAACTCCTTGACATTCTACTCTGACCCACTGCAACACTTTGTCCTGAGATCTGGAGTTTAACATGTAGAACTGCAAGACAAAAAGAAGAGTTTTTAACCCACTAAAAACCTTCTGGATTTTTTAGCTTAAACTAACAAATGTTTCAACAAATTGATTAGCATGCACCAGCATAAAAGGTTTTTAAATATAAACTCTTTTCCTAGCTCCGAGTATTACAACGAAATATTCTATAGTCACTTGTACGGATCTGACAACACCTAGAAGTAGGCCCTTGTACCGTTCTCCACCTGTGAAAGGAGTATCCCTACTGAAGACACTTTGCTCCCATCACAGGGAGGAAGGCAGTAGTACACTCCCAAGCTCCAGCCATTTGAATGTTCAATAGTTCACTCAGCAAATTTTTATACAATCAGCTCTCCTTTCTTGCACACTTTGCTGTGCAGAGGGACAGCTGATGTTGAAATTAACTTATGTTAGCTATGAAGCCCATCAGTGACATGAATATGAAGCTGGCCAGATGTCTGAGCTATTATTTCAACTTGTCAGCTTCATCACTTCAGTTTTAAGAGCATCTTTTAAGTGAAAGCCTAGATTCACCAAGCACGAGATGGATTGAGGGAAGGAAGGGGGAAAGAGAATCATTTCAAACTAGTTCAAGTCATTGCCATTTCTATCCAGGCAGAACAGGGGTGGCATGACAGCTGGCCTGCCAAGCCCTTTGATCCATCCTGCAGCTGCTCTCCTGCCTCCAGGCCAATTGAGACTTAGACAGGGGGGAGCGCACAAAGTCTCCTACCCCCCGCCAGGGGCACACAGCACCAGAGGGAACCGCTAGCTGTTCAAAACAGCTGGCAATTCTCTCTATGCACAGGGTGCCCATAGCAGGGTGGGGGGAAAAGACTTCACACATTGGGGGAGCACGCAAAGTCTCCTGGCTGTGCCCCTTTTGGGGCAGCCTAAGTCCACTTCTGAAATTGATGAAGTGGCCCCCCCCTTTAAAAATTATTGCTCACTCCTGAGGTAGAAGCTTAAGAGTCCAGTGGATTTCTGAAGCTCCCCATGTTTCAAAATTAAGTAGACTCAAAGAACCTGTGTAAGGCTGAATTGGGCCAGTACATCACAATTAATACCTTTGGCAGTAAATACAACTCTGGAGAGGAGGAGGTTTTACAGCACTGCATTCTACTCCTTCAGTCATGTCAAACTACTTTGGGTGGGAATGGTGTCCCTAGCCTCTGTTTGTCTGGAAATCAATGATAGGGGAGGGATCACCTGTTGTGTTCACTCCCTCTGGGGCATCTGGCATTGGCCACCGTCAGCAGACAGGACACTGGGCTAGATGGACCTTTGATCTGACCCAGTATGGCCGTTCTTAGAATCATAGAATCATAGGACTGGAAGGGACCTCGAGAGGTCATCGAGTCCAGCCCCCCGCCCTCAAGGCAGGACCAAGCTCCGTCTACACCATCCCTGACAGATGTCTATCTAACCTGTTCTTAAATATCTCCAGAGAGGGAGATTCCACCACCTCCCTTGGCAATTTATTCCAATATTTGACCACCCTGACAGTTAGGAATTTTTTCCTAATGTCCAATCTAAACCTCCCCTGCTGCACTTTAAGCCCATTACTCCTTGTCCTGTCCTCAGAAACCAAGAGGAACAAATTTTCTCCTTCCTCCTTGTGACACCCTTTTAGATATTTGAAAACCACTATCATGTTCCCCCTTAATCTTCTTTTTTCCAAACTAAACAAGCCCAGTTCATGAAGCCTGGCTTATTTTCTTATGTGCTTAGGGTTGGATCTGATCCAACCCCAAACCCCATATCTGCTAATAAAGTTAGAAAAATTGAACTAGAAGAAATACTGTGTCAGCCATCTGGATGAAGAGCTTAAAGTGATTAAACTATACTGTAAGTTGTTGCTTCTTTGGAAAGTGTAAAGAACATTTGTTTGGATTACTTCAAGTCTGAGGAAGCAATTGACAGAAAGAAAAATAGTTTCTCTGTTCCAAGCAATGAACACAGACAGTATATGGGAGGGATCACGTGAGGATTACCTGTTCCCTCCCTCTGGGGCATCTGGTATTGGCCACTGTTAGCAGACAGGATACTGGGCTAGATGGACCATTGGTCTGACCCAGTATGGCCTTTGTTATGTTGATGAAGGTGTGTGGTAGGAGAGGATAAGGACCTAATGACTTGCTAATATTCAGAATTGCCAGTCATTAAGGTAACAAAACAGACCTGGTTAACACTGTCCAGCAGACATATTATAGCTGCTCAAAAAGAAGAGCTTTTGTAGTTTATGAAATGTGTTATCAAGATTTGGGTGCCTCTGAGTGTACTTAGAAGACAGTCTTACCTTTAGTACAAAATGGAGCTACAAATATTTTCTATTGGAACTGCTTTAAGAGAAAGGGCATTTTCACACTACTGACCTTGTTTGTGTTACCACGTGCATGATGCCCGCCAAATAAATACAATACTTTATCTACACACACAGCACAACTTCCTGACATGGACGGTGGAACGTCCCCTTCTGTCTTTTTTTTAATCCTGAAAAGATATGCAAAAACATTTAAAAATTGATACAAAGGAAAATATTATTTTCTCTGAAGCAGAAGTATTCAATAGTCTGACTGGCTGAGTTAACAATAACTGGTGTTTGTGGGATATTCAGGACTCCAGTTTAGAGTCATTTGGATTTTTGTAGTACTGTAATAGCACTTTGAAAATATAGAAAAACCCTCCTTCTACTAAGGTTTTGTTTTTTGTTCTATGCCCAATTCAGAGGCTTAAAAATCTCCCCTCCGCCTCTTTGAAAAGGAGAGTCTCAGGCACAGAGGATCCTCCCTTAAAAATTTTTTAGTAAAAGGTGAGTTTTTTAATGTTTTCAATGATGCTGTAGCCACAAGGATGCATTTCCATACTCAAGGCTCCACATGACCAAAACAGCAGCAACTGACAAGTAAGACTGAATGGGCCTCCCCTCAGATCCAATTAATACTGCTCCTTAAAAAGTTTAGGATACTCAGCACTTGCAGGATAAATCCCTAGTTGTCTAGAGAAGTGAAGAAACACATAACTCCCTACCCCCAATAGTAGGTATAGAGTCTCTGAACAACTTCCAGTGTTTTCTATTGGTTTAGGAAACAAAAATATTACATATAGTCAAAGAGATTTAAAAAAACCAAGATATTTACCTTCCTAGAACAAGGAAGAAAATAATATAGGAACCTAGATGTATTTAATTATTTTACTGCTGTAGTATGTTACAGATATATACAGTTCATGGAAACTCTATTTGCTGTTCAAAGTTCTCAAACATGCCACAGTGTTTGTCACACATTAATAAAGAAATTATCTTGGCACCACCTCCTCTCCCATTTAGGGACACAGGACATTGGCACCTACAGCAATTGCTTATATGGAAAAATAAGTTTAAGAACACTTATATTTAAATTGTTTTATAATGCAGTCTGCAGGGGGAATAAAAATCTATTTTTAAAAAACAAAAAAGTTTTAATTTTAATTAAATATCGTTTTTTAAAAGTAAATCTATTTACAATTAAATGCTGAAATTGACAACCTATGTTAAGGCTTAAACGATTATTAAAATAATTTCAATTAAATAAAAACACCTAGTAGTACATATTTGCTGTCAAGTTTTATAGAAGGTCAAACCACTGAACTGGTGGAAGCCACTAGCCTAGCTCCTTCAAACAGATCCTATTGAAGTGCTAACCCAGCTTTTGACCCCAGTCACTACTTCTGCAGGTGCAGAGGAAATATTTTGTTCACTTCACTTTATTCAACTAGTTCAGTTACTAATTTAATTTAATTCCAAGTTAAGAAATCAATTGGAAGTTGGGGAAAAAGCAAGCTTGTTTTCCACTTCCTGTTTAAGAATAAAAACAAAGGATCAGAGGATTAGCGCTATTAGTTTTAAAATCATGAAGGATAAGGAGACCAGAAAGATCTATAGTTAATGAATTGAATGGAATACAAAACATATTTTGATTTTCCTTGTTTCCAGCATATTTAAGATAGTTTAATTTGTTAAAAATTAAAATGCTGTTTTTGTGCATTTTAATTATATTTATGTTTCCATCCCAGCAGAGCGTGATTCAAATCACAAAAATCATACTCTAATAAAAAATGCACCATTTTCTAAATTTTTACTTTTTCCCATTTAAGAATGTAAGCAAGCAGAACTGTATAACTGCTTAAACAAACATATGGATTTAGTGCATTCTACTGGTTTATAAAAAGAACCACAACTTCAGTGAAAAGGCTATACAGTAAATCAAACCATCCTTTCTTTAGAAAAATAAAAGGTCCAAATGCAAAATACAATTAAAAATGGATTTAAATCAATGTCCCCTGCTGGCTGATTTAAATCATGATTAAAGTCAGTGATTTCAATCAGAGATGTGGATAATTAACCAACAGGGGCTGGAGCAGACCAAAGGATACAATTAAAAAAATGAACACATATGAAAAGGACAAATCACATTTCAGAACAGAAGGGGGATGCGGGGGGGGGGGGGGGGGGAATGTGTGTGCACCCACTGTCCCCCCTTTAATTGGTTAATTCATTAAACATGCTTAACTGATCAATCAATTTAAATTAAGGATGTAAAATCCTATTTAATTGCTCATATTTAAATCAAAGCACCCAGGGGCATGACAATTTGTCATCTAGAAATGAGCGAAGGCAGCACCTTCTGCAGGTCACCAGCAATTGCTCCATGAATAAGACCCCTTAGTTTTCTTTTTCAACCCGGCTACGTCTACACTGGCCCCATAAAACGGAATAGTCATGCAAAGCAGGTAAGTCAGAATCGGGAAATCCGCGGGGGATTTAAATATCCCCCGCGGATTTAAATAAACATGTCCGCCGCTTTTTTTCTGGCTTGGGGAAAAGCTGGAAAAAAGCGTCTAGACTGGCACGATCCTCCGGAATAAAGCCCTTTTCCGGACGATCTCTTATTCCTACTTGCGGAATAAGAGATCCTCCGGAAAAGGGCTTTATTCCGGAGGATCGCGCCAGTAAAGACGCTCTTTTCCGGCTTTTCCCCAAGCCGGAAAAAAAGCGGCGGCCACGTTTATTTAAATCCCACGGGGGATATTTAAATCCCCCGCGGATTTCCCTATTCTGACTTGCCTGCTTTGCATGCCTCTTCCAGAGAAGGGGCCAGTCTAGACGTAGCCTTGGTGAAAAACAAACAGCCCGGCAGCTGCTTTTCTGAGCAGCAAGCAGGGGAGTCTGCTTGGAGGCTCCCTGCTGCATCTATGGTCCAGATGGTTTTGCCCAGGCCTGCTGCAGTGCCAGCGTGGGCTCCCTGCTACAGCAACACCAAGGGGGGGTTGGGTTCAAGATTTGAAAGAGCCATATTTTTTGTGTTAGTTTTAAGGTGCCACAGAACTACTTGTTGTTTATAAAGTTACAGACTAAACACAGCTACTTTACCCCTCTGAGACTGTTTATTCAAATGAAATGTTTTATTGGGGGAAAAGAGATGTATTGTTTTCTTAAACTCAGAGGTGGCATCATGTATTGAGTTCTGATTTAGTTCTGTAGAAAACCACACTGAACAAAATTCAAAACATTAAAAGGGGGGGAGGGATAGCTCAGTGGTTTGAGCATTGGCCTGCTAAACCCAGGGTTATGAGTTCAATCCTTGCAGAGGCCATTTAAGGATTTGGGGCAAAAATTCATCAGGTATGGTATTTGGTCCTGCTGAGAAGGCAGGGGACTGGACTTGATGACTTTTCAAGGTCCCTTCCAGTTATAGGAGATAGGCAATCTCCATTACATTAATATTTATTATATACTCAATATTTCCCCATCCATCTTTCTGTTCAACAAAATAAACTGATATTTACTCAGAAAAATTATTATTTTTACACTGATTTTCACCTGTTTTTGTTGTGTTGGTAATAAACATTGATAACTTCCTAGAAAAATAAATAAATGAAAATTTAAACAAAGGGCCCTATTTCATGGAGCATCAGAAGGATTTATAGAACAGTCTGAGAACCTTTTTTTTCCTTTCTTAAACCCATGTTGTATTTTAAAGTAACTTGTACTGTACCATCTTCCAGTTTCCATGTTGTAGATCCATATTTCATCTCTAGGCAGGTAGAAGTCATAAAATCCCCTAACTTGAGCATTCTGCAGGGACAGTGGAGAAAAGACACTATCACAAAAGACTCAACATTTTATGTCATATATAGCTAAGTGTTTCCAGGCCTGCCCTCCTTCTCCCTCAGAAACAATTCAAACTATTTTTAAATGTTTATGAGATAGAAAATAGCATGAGGAGTCTGAGAAGGGATGAGTAGTGATGTGACGAAGTGCAGACTGCATTCCAGTGACTACCACTAACAGCCGTTAGGGTGCAATTATACACAATGACAAATTCAAGCAGTCTCAGGACTATTTTAGTTTGTGTTGGGGATAGGACCAGCTCACAGAAGAATCGAAGATCAGAAGATTATTAAAATTGGTTAAAGCTACCTTTGCAACCTCATCCTTCTGGAAAACCGAACAGAGAGCTCTAGTGTCAGGCTCAGTGCCCAGATTTACTTGTTTATATTTTTTAAGGATTTTGCCAAATGTTAGTGGAATAGACTAGAAACTTTCTCTCCAGATATTTGCTACAAATTTAGTTTGCTGTTAAATGAAAACAAATTTGATGACCTTATGCTAGGTCTTGTTTGTCTAAGTCATGAGATCACAATATGGCCGTACTTCTTGTTTAAACTACCCACATGCCAGCATGAATAGCAGTCAGCTCAGGAACTCTGAACTCTAATGTATCTAAAAACAACAAACAGTCTGGTAGCACTTTATAGACCAGACTATTTGTTGCTTTTTAAGTTTATCCTGTACAGACTAGCTCGGCTACCCCCTGAAGCTCCTAATGTATCTATGAGTGAGCTGGGAAACCTATGCGGATAAAACGTTAAGCGCTAATCTGTGCTATGTCTGGTATAACCCACTACCAGTATTTCCCTATCTTCAAATAATTAAATGCCTAGCAACAAAGAGATAGATTTAATAGAGATTTATTGTAAGATATGTATTTAAATTTTACAAAAGTTGCACCATTGCTAACTAATTACACGTCACTTTAAGATTATAGGTGGACTTGGCAGGTCACACTTTTTTGGAGAGGTTATACAGGCAGTCCCCGAGTTATGCGGATCCGACTTATGTCGGATCCGCAGTTACGAACGGGGCCGTCTCCCTGGTCTCCAGCAGACCAGGGAGACGGGGAGCAAAGCCGAGCAAAGCCGCGGAGCCCGAGGGCAGCAGGACAGCCACAGCGCGTCTGGGCTGTCCCGCTGCCCCCGTGCTCCGCGGCTTTGCTCCGGGCGCCTGTGGTACAGCAGCTGGGGTGCTGCTGGGTTGGTCCAGTACGCCACTCTGGGCGCTATGGGACCAACCCGGCAGCACCCCAGCTGCTCTGCCCCAGGCATCCTGATTCAGCCCCCGCTGGGCAGTTTTCGCAGGGG